TGGCCCTAACGCTGTGGTTGGTGTACATTTTCGACAGTTTTGCAGCCTCACTGATGCTTTTCATCATGTTGTTGAGCCTGTTGACACCGATCGGTCGAGCATCGTACGAAACATCATCATCGTCATTCCACTGCTTCTTTGGATATTGAAAAGATGCATCGCTTTTAGGATTCAACTTCGAGATATATAGCTCCATGGCATTGTAACCGTCGTTCCATTAGAGGATTCATACATCCGTGCCACTTTTTCATTGCTTTGGACATCGCTTACACCTCCGGAATGATTTTTAGTTACCTCATCACGCGCCTTTGTGACGAACCTTCCTCCAGAGGCATCCACTTCAAATGTGAAACCGATCTTTTGAGCTCCCTTTGCCCTTCTGTACCCCTCCGACAAAAAAAAAAGGACAACATGAAACCACACATTTCGAAGCAAGGAAACCGGGCTAGTGTCTGCGATGGCTTGAGAAGCTTTAAGTTTCGCCAAATCTTCATTTTCAATCGCTGGCTTGTTCTTTACATTTTTTTTCTTGACGCTTCGAGGTGATGATCTGGGTGTGCAGTATCTCATTTGATCTTTTGAAACGAGGGTGTGAGCCCAGTTTAAGGCCATGGTTCAAAGGAGGCGCATTGAGGTACCTTTCGAAAGAATGCCAGAAACCAAGAAGAGAGGATTTACTCAGTGTACGGTTCACCAGATCCGTTTCTTGCTTCGGCATCAAATCTTCGTAGGTTTGTGTCCAGTTGTCCCACAATCATTATCTCGATTGTTGTTTCAGTTCTTTTTCTCATTGCACCAAGCTTGAATAAAGACAAAAAAACTGCGGGTTAATTTTTTAGAACATGCATATATATTCTTTTATACAATATATTGTATGTTTAAAATATATCAGTCGAAAACCGTGACAGTTAAGTATTAGTTACGAGCCGCTCCATTGAAATGTTTACATTGCCGATTACTGCACTGGGACTACTGTTTTCATAGTAACTCTAAAGAGAATAAACTACTCTTAAAAACATTTGAGATAGAAGTATTTACCTTTGAATGTTCCAACGGACCAGTTTTTGATTTGATTGGTTCTTTTAGAGTTTCTCTCTACCAAGATAGTTTCCAGCTCCGACTCACTCAGAGCTGCGAAACGGGATGACGGCGTTGCTTGTTCTTTGTTTTCTTTTACTTTTCGTTCTTTTTTGGGAGTTAAAAACTCGATTCTCAAAGAAAAAGTAATGCATTTCTTCCTCATCAGCTTGCTGACAATTTTCCATGTTTGGCGTAGATAGCCACCGAGTTCTTAATCAGTTAAAATCTTAAAGTAAAAAGATCGCGGAGAAAATTTTCTTCTGGAGGGATTTGTTTGCTGACGTCATGAGTGTACACAATAGGTATATGAAGCACGCTCGCGCAATTGAATTTGATTACACAAATTTACTACCTATGTTATAAAATTCCTTTTCTTGATAGTCTTTGCAGTTTTGAGGAATTTTGACTTTAGAGGTCTCAAGACTCCATCTTTTCTAGCAAGGCATTTAATACAAAAATGAGATTTGAATTCACCTTTTCATCTCTCTCCCCATTAAATTACTCGATGAATATTAATGACTGACGAGTTATGATTTCAGGTGCATTATCAGAATTAGTAACAGTGTACGCGTTATAGTTTGTCAAAGCGGCTATCGGTGCATCATTATCTGATAAGTACTTATTATTGAAGTTGGAAAGCGATTTTCAGTAAAACCATCCATGCTAAATCAGCGACCGAAATTACAAAGAGATATATGAAAACAATCCTGACGTCATTATGAACTTGTACCCTTCTGTTACAACGAACAATTTGAATGTATAAAATGACAGAATTGGTGTATTTTTTCACAGACTTCAAACCCTTTGTAATTTTTTTACCATCGTTGCTAAGCTATTCATCGAATTAAAAGACTATACTAGGAATTTATACAAAATGGTAGTCTTGGAAGATGGTAGCATGGCTTGTTGACATTACACCAGTTACAGGTACTAACCTTTTATAATGAACGAAAAAATGAATGAATAGAAAATAAAATTATCATCGCTTCGTACCGTTGCTAAGATAGGAAATATTTAGGGCAAATAAAAAGAAAAATTGTTCTATCGTCATCTTGGGCTGGGCTATATCTACCTTTACTAAACGTGAAAAAAACTTATTGCGAAATAACTTGGATTGAAAATAGGTTTGAGAACTACGTAGTTTGCTTTCATTTTGAAACAGGCGGTGGGGGTGGGGGGTGTAATGTTACGATAAAAATGGAGAATGCGACCCTTTGTTTAACTTGGTGATATTTTTACTTGAAGTCTCTCTCCAGATCATTGCGCCTCCAATAAACCAGTCTGTTACCGAAGGATACCCTGTCAACTTTAGTTGCGCGGCCTCAGGTGTTCCAACACCAACATTTGTCTGGGATCTTAATAATGGTGACCTGCCATCTGGTATCCATCAGACTGATCAAGAAAGAGAGTCACTGCTGGAATTGCCACAAGTCACAAAAGAGATGGAGGGGACTTACACGTGCACAGCAAAATACAAAGACATTTCAACTAGTTCCTCTGCAGCACTGAGTGTTCATGGTAAGTTCAATAAAAAAAGATTGTTATTAATTAGGATGAAGATGAATATAATAATGAAGATGTTGGAGATGAATGTGGAGATAAAGATAAAGACAAAGGTGACGGTGCTGGTGAGAAAGGAGGGAAGCAGGAGTTCAAGGGTTGTGCAGTTAAACTGCTTCCAGACCACACATAACTTCAATTATGAACTGATGTGTACAGACAAAAAGACTAAAAGATGAAGGAGGAAGAGGAGGAAAGAGGAGGAGGAGTAGAGAGGAGGAATGAGGAGGAGGAAAGAGGAGGAGGAGGAGGAAAGAGGAGGAGAAGTAATGAGGAGGGGGAATGAGGAGGAGGAAAGACGAGGAGGAATGAGGAGGAGGAGGAGAAAGAAAGAGGAAGAGGAGGAGGAGGAAAGAGGAGGAGGAGGAATAAAAAAGATACCATCCCACATGAACGAGATGGACAGTTTCGTTTCGTAAATAAGAAAAATAAACATTTGGCCCTATATGAGCGCGCACTTTGAATTATTATAATTAATATTTTAAAGTGCGCGCTCCTTTAAAGTTTGTTAGAGACAACGGAGAAGGATGTATACAATAAGATGAAACTCGAAGTGTCTACCTCCACACTCATTTCTTACCTGCTCACGAAGAGTGTGGACGATAGCGAGTACTCAGGATCTTTCCGCGGTTCTAAAATCGTATCGACAAAAAATGCATGCTGTTCATGCTCGCGTAAAGTATCAGGAAAATGTGTTGAAGGAATATAAATAACATTCCGAGAATGGAACGATCCCCAAAAGACTGAAATCAATGCAAAGTTGCCCAAAGATGCAAAGTCCTGAAGCTCAGAAACGTGTCAATGAAGCATACCATCAAGTAGAATATACGGTCTTACATCAAGCGATTCGAAAGATTGAAAAGAATCTTGCCGCACACAAAGAAAAATATCAATCCTTGCTACAACAGCTACAAAGTGAGCGATAAATACTGGAGGGCAGGAAAGAAAAGACACGCAAGATATCTCACCAGACACGGGTGAAAACTGAATTGATTGAAATACAGAAAAAATACGATCAACTCTGTGCCAAGTTAGACACATTCTCAAAATCTAGCGAGAACAAAGGTGAAGAGGGTGTTAATGGTGTATGAGGCGGTGATAGGTTAAGGAAAGTGGTGAGACAATAATATATAAAAAGCAGAGAACATTACACTTTTTCATTAGTATCGCTCTGACACGAAATGGAAGTCATGATACCTTGATAAACTTCTGATCGGATAATGCCACACCTTTGCCGCTACTGCAATAGAGCATTCACGCATTCGGATAACAAAGAGCGTCACGAGAAAAATTTATGCGTGAATTCCAGGGTAAATCCAAATCAATGGTTCCCTTCAACTGTGGATACCCATTCCATTCCACCCGTGACTACATATCCGACTCAGTCATTCGAACTATCACAAAGGTGGTGTGAGGGATTTAAATTCAAATCACCCAGTAGCATATTAATCGTGGGTCCTTCTGGATGCGGTAAAACTTGCTTCACCAAATCATTACTGCTACAACATTTGGATGAATTGTTTGCCTCTCCCCCTGCCGTCATTCACTACTGTTACGGTGTTTGGCAAGATGGATACCGTGGGATGCATCAACATGGTATAAAACTTCACGATAACCTACCCAATGAAGAACAGTTAAAGCAATGGTTCCCTAAAGATGGTGGATTACTGGTCATGGATGATCGTATGACTGAGGGAGGAGACGGTAAAGAAGTGTTAGACCTTTTCACCAAACATTCTCATCATCGTAACATTACTGTTATCCATCTGTGTCAAGATATGTTTCCACCTCGCAAATATGCAAAAAGTATTTCAAAGAATGCTCATTACGTGGTTGCTTTCAAAAACCCACGCGATCAATTGGGTTTCAAAAATTTATTGTTACAAGCCTCTCCCATGGAATGGCAAGATATTATGCAAGTGTATTCTGAAGCAACTCAACGACCCATGGGTATATCACCCTGGATTTACATCCTGCTAGTAAGGATACTCACTGCGTATTCAGTCATCTTTTGACACATGAAGGATGTATGCGATTGTATCCTAGAAAAGTGAAACTTTTCAGAAATCATTTAGGAACAACCACCGGCAAGTGCACATCGAGAAAACTTATAGTGCGTGTTTGTGACCATGACTGATAATTCTCAGGATCTAGATGTCTTTGGTGAACCACTAGAAGAAGATGAAGAGCCTGAGAACACAGATGATGAAGACAATGATGATGAAGGTAAAAATGAAGACAAGGATGACGGTGACGATAATAATGATGATGATGATGACAATGTCGGTGTGAATCCGTGGTCAGAATTGAAACAGGAAGTGAAAGATGATATGAAAAAACTTTGGCTGAACAAGAGGAAGAACAGGAAAAAGAGCGGACATCCCAGAACGTCAAGTCGCTCTTATCTTTAGCTAGGCGTAAGTTGAGAAGGCTATACTTGCATCGTCTAAAGTGGTATAACTGTATAAAACAGGATAAAATACATAGGCAAGTCATGCATACCCCTCGACGATTGATGAATGAGGACGATATGGATTGGGAAGAGGCATTAGAGGCTGCCGTGGACAGGAGAAAATTCCTATTGAATCGTCTGATCAACAAACCGTTATTGGATGAAATCGATGATGATGATGATGATGATGATGAAAAAGAGTAGGAAATGAATACCGTGTAACCGCTGTAGTATGCGTGTATAGTTACGCGAAACAAAGACAAAATAAAATCATGTTGTAAACGATTTTTGTCCAATTTTATTTATGACCATACTAAGTTAAGAAATGTACATCATCTGCTAGTCCGTTATTAAAAACTTCTATCACATCAAACTCTATGGTTGTTACCTGCGACACCTCTGTGTTCGATTCTACCAGTGTGTTGAATGGACCTGTCTTTGCAGACATGTGGTCTACAGCCATTTCTGGTAGTAAAGGAGGGTGCTGGAATTTTCTCTTTTAGCTTCTAAGGACGAGTTCTCTTTGCTCGCTGCTTTCTCCTCTTTTGGAAGACTCTACATAAGAAGAAAATCATGCATTTTAGTATATATTCTTATTTCCACGATAATTATCTTAAGCGCTCAGACTTCCTTGTTATCTTTAGTAAACTTCCATAGGTGATATGGACGAATCACGGTCCTTCCATATTCTCCATTATCAAAACACTTCATACGCGAAAGAGTACAGCTCACGTTATGTCCCCAATCAATCTCTCTTCTCTCTTCCTCTCTCACGAATATCGGGAAGTTTGCTTGAATAAAGTCACAAATTTGATTCAGGAACATACCCCCTTTTACTGTATCCCCTTTTACTGTACTAGACCGTCGACTCGATCCCTCACTAAATATGAAACCGGTTCGTCAGAACTTAGAATAGCCTTCGCAAAGATAGCCACAAATGTCTCTACTTTAGGCATGTTTTCGTTAGTGATGCTTTCTTGGCTTGCTTAAAACCACCTTTATACAGTCGATGCTCCATTTCCATTGGTCCATCATTGATTGACATATCTCATAACTATTTACACTCTTTCTTCAAGTAATATAATTTATTCTTCACATTTACTCACTCGTTCTGGTCATTTTATTCGTCAACTTTACTCAGTTCTTGGGACTCATATACACTCGCGGTAAAACATTACCACTAACAAAAGTGACAGTTTAAAACAGTTTATTACAGTGATACTAGATCATTCTATGTACTCTCTTTCCTTCTCTTCCTATTTCCTGCTCCTGCGCACGCGTCCGGAATGTAGTCGCGTAGCGACCTTGGCAATGTTTCCACGTTTTAGTCATGTTTCGTCACATGTAAAGCAATTCGTCTTTGGACTATGCTCCTTGTAATTCTTCCAATCGCTTTATCACAAATAGATGTCGAGGTTTTGTGTAAAACGTGCTTGCATTTAGGTACTTGCCATGTTGCCTCTCTTTTACTGCTTTTATTTTGTGTTTAAAGAGAGTATCCAGGAACGGTTTGATTGTATTTATCTTCTATTCGACTTCTATGTAGGGATGAATTTCAGTGAGGTACACCACTTGTCTGATTGGATCAAATCGAACTTTCTTCATCATCACTTTGGTCCCATGTATGATCATACCATTCCGACTCATAGCCACTCTCATACACCCATTGCTAGATCTCCATTGGTCTATCATTGATTGACACACGTCATAACTCGGAAACATTTTGGACAGACAGGTCATTGACTTTGATACGAAAAAATGTACGGATGCTATGACTTGATTAAAAGTTTATGGACAGATAATCATGAGACTACCTAGGTTACAACGCCTGCTGGCATTTCGTATTTTCCCCCGGTTTGTATGCTCTATGGCTCATTTTTCCCGAGAAATGGGAATGTTGATGAGCATGGTGCTGCGTTTTTAAATACCTTTTCGTTCGATTTTCTTCTGATAATGTTTTTTAAACGGGAGATTTAATTATCTCTCTTCGAATCAGTCATTGAATTGCGTCGATGTATCGTTGTTATTTTCCTCACTTGCGGAACTTTGTATAGAGTTTAAAACAGTTTCGTCACTGCTAGTGATGGCACTCACGCGTTACAGTTTATTTTTAATTAAGATTTGAGCTAAAGTAAACATTTTTGAGAATAAAGCTATCGCATGTTTTTACCTCGAACGGACCATTGTTCATTTTCAGAGAATTTTGAATACTCATGAACTGAGTGATCACCATCCGAACTATTTTCATTTTATTGGAGTGGGAGGAGTTATTCATACCCCATCATAGGGTTTAGGCGGAAACACACCTCTTTTATTCTCGATTTTTTTTACACGATACGAATGCTAATGACATCGTGAAATAACTTTTACCGTGGAAGTATGAGTCGCCATCTTGCCTTTTATTGTTTCCATTGCTTGTCTCACTCTGATGTTTGACTGTTAGGGTTTTCATTTTGATTTTGATATGGGAATAAGTGAGTTAGGGAATTGGGCTCTTTGAATATTCATTTAATCTTGAGATGAAACACCATCTTAGGCTTCATTTTTTTCATTGTTTTTACACCATCTTAGATGACTTTTACCCGAACACTTTGACAGCTTGTCAATCCCTGTGTCTTACGATCGTAAATCTCTTACAGATTGAGCAGTGCGTTATAATGCTCGTAAGATTCCTCCCCCTCCTGACTCTGTTATGTCACTAATTTGGTGCGATAACCGTTCTTTTGGCCTCGTCTAAAGAACTCTTTTTTAACACACTTGGGCAAAGACATGGAAGAAAACCCTCAGTGGGTAGGAGCCATATTAGATGAGTTATTAGACATAGTCAAAGAATAAAACCGCTACACATGATCTCGGCGTCATGCGCAAACAAGTGACTACCTACATCAAGGAAATTGAAGCCTACGACCAAGAAGTGGGAGAAAAAAATACATTCTATCGGTTATACTGTCAACTGATGCCTTCATGTTTGGTCTATGTCACTTATTTTCAAGTTCTTCGCTCTTAAGTTTTTTTATGACAACGTGTTGTGTGACAAATAACCGCGTTTTGTGAAATATGCAAAAATCTTGCGTGTCTATTCTTGTTTACCAAACTTGCGTTTCAAACGACACTCATTTTTTAGACGTAAAAGTCATGCGTCCTGAATAACCTGTACCACATGCGTAAGAAAACCTTTTGGACCTCTTATAAATACCTCTTCTACTCCTAGACTTAGTCGGTTAGACTACAATGTCTAACCGGCGATACCCAAACGTGTAACATAGGGTCCAATCTCTTTTCTCTGTGTTGTGTGACAATAAACATTACGTATGCGTAAACAGTGTGTTGGAGTTAATCCATCCGCCATCTTGGATTCTTTTGTCCCATTGTACTTTTTTGTACCGTTGTTTTTTAAAATGAGATGCGAAAAAACCCTACACATGAACCTACGCGAAATTTAACCCTAACCCTAAAAACCCCTCGTGCACCTACGCTATATGCATAAACCCTAAAAACCCCTCCTACACCTAACCCTAACCCTAAAAATCACCCTCGTGCACCTGCACGGTATGAATAACTAATTCGACATTCGGACCCAGGCCGTTCGGTTATTTCCATACAGGCGCCCTAGACTACTGTAGAGCTTAGTTTCTGATCCAGTCTTCTTGGATCTCTTCCTGGAGTTGCTTGATTGGCTTTGCTCTACCTCCTCGGTGTGCCTTTTTTTGGTTTGGGCGAGACTTTCAAGAGCCTTCTGACGGACTTTTTCGGCATCTTTACGATCTTTCAAGCCTTTCTCATGTTTATCTTTCGTATCTGTTTGGTAATTCTCTGATGCCTCTCGAGACTCTTCCCCGATATCTTGTAGTAGTTGGTCTAATTCGGTTTTGTAGGTATTTGAACCACTGGAGCCTTCTTGAGTCCTCATTTTCTTCTTATGTTTTTCTAACAAAAGCCGGTATCGATCCCGAACAGACTTNCATCCGCCATCTTGGATTCTTTTGTCCCATTGTACTTTTTTGTACCGTTGTTTTTTAAAATGAGATGCGAAAAAACCCTACACACGAACCTACGCGAAATTTAACCCTAACCCTAAAAACCCCTCGTGCACCTACGCTATATGCATAAACCCTAAAAACCCCTCCTACACCTAACCCTAACCCTAAAAATCACCCTCGTGCACCTGCACGGTATGAATAACTAATTCGACATTCGGACCCAGGCCGTTCGGTTATTTCCATACAGGCGCCCTAGACTACTGTAGAGCTTAGTTTCTGATCCAGTCTTCTTGGATCTCTTCCTGGAGTTGCTTGATTGGCTTTGCTCTACCTCCTCGGTGTGCCTTTTTTCGGTTTGGGCGAGACTTTCAAGAGCCTTCTGACGGACTTCTTCGGCATCTTTACGATCTTTCAAGCCTTTCTCATGTTTATCTTTCGTATCTGTTTGGTAATTCTCTGATGCCTCTCGAGACTCTTCCACGATATCTTGTAGTAGTTGGTCTAATTCGGTTTTGTAGGTATTTGAACCACTGGAGCCTTCTTGAGTCCTCATTTTCTTCTTATGTTTTTCTAACAAAAGCCGGTATCGATCCCGAACAGACTTTTTGTTGGCATTGAAGGTAATCTCCTTTACTTCACAAAGGTCACTCGCAATATTTTTCCATGCGTTTCCACTTTGAGGGCTTCCTCCCTTGAACTGATATGGATTCATAAATAGAATTTCCCGGCACAGAAAGATGTCGTGCTTTACACTCCACTTCATGAAAGAACTAAAAACAAATAACACAGGTAAGATATCAGGTAAAATTAGGGAAAGGAAACAGAAACTGTTGTCGATGGCAGCAAATATTTCACAGCGGCACCTTAAAATTCTAATGCAGAGACTGAAGGAGCTGGAAGTGAACATCACCCGCAATTCTCGCTAAAAATTTGTCATAAACAATTAAAGCCTTCAACAATATCGTAGTTTTAGTGTTGCAGACACAAAATAATCGTTATTTCACTTGAAACTCACCTTTTCTTTAGCGCTTTACCATCTGCAATTTTGAACAGCTACGACGACTTGAAGCCAGGGACTCTGACGGCGTCGTCGGCTCGCGACGTGACAGAGATAATTGGGTTTCCTATGCTCGCATGCGCATTCAGTAATTTTTCTATCACTCTCGACGTCGTCCTAAGCGACGTCGTATTTGCGTAAGTTCACTATTTTCTCGCTATCGACACAAAAGAATATTTCAAACATACTTTTATAATATAAATATTGGAAAACCTTTCAGCTGAAAAACATGGTTGAGTCAAGTCAATGTCCGTTGCTGGACTCTAAACCAAAGTTGATGTGGACATGTGCTTGTTGTATTGTGTAGCTGTTGAAGAGCGAGCCAAGATAGCTGCTTGATGTTGTTGTCGCTGTCATCTCGATCTTTTCTTAAATTTAAGTGCGGGTGTTAATGGCAGCGCCAGAAGAATGAGTGCTTTCGGCTGTCAGACTTCTTGACAAATCTTCACTGCAGTGTTGTGGTTGTGAGGTGGAAGGCTGCGGGTTGAAGTGCGCCAGGCTCTGCTCAATACAGTGACCAGATATTGCCATAATATGATGATTTTGGATTCTGGAATTTGACCACAACGTGATCGCAGTGGCCCTAACGCTGTGGTTGGTGTACATTTTCGACAGTTTTGCAGCCTCACTGATGCTTTTCATCATGTTGTTGAGCCTGTTGACACCGATCGGTCGAGCATCGTACGAAACATCATCATCGTCATTCCACTGCTTCTTTGGATATTGAAAAGATGCATCGCTTTTAGGATTCAACTTCGAGATATATAGCTCCATGGCTTTGTAACCGTCGTTTCCATTAGAGGATTCGTACATCCGTGCCAATTTTTCATTGCTTTGGACATCGCTTACACCTCCTGGATGATTTTTGGTTACCTCATCGCGCGCCATTGTGACGAGCCTTCCTCCAGAGGCATCCGCTTCAAATGTGAAACNACTGGTGCTCCCAGTTGGCTTGTTAGCTCAAATGGTAGCGCGCTGCACTAGTATCGCAGAGGTCATTGGTTCGAATCCCGTATAGGCCTGAATTTTTTCAAGTCTGATTTTCACTATTGCCTAAATAGTGCTCTTTACTGCGAGGATCGTGCACAAAATACGTAGGTATAATTATAATTAAAGTTTCATGTCATTGAAGTTTGAACCTCCTTACACTTGAGTAAGCTCGAGAGTCAATAAGGCCGAAATAGATCCTAAGTGACAATGTTCCTGAGCCTATTGCATTACGTAGAGATAAGATCTGTAAGAAATTATTTGAAGGAATCCACTATATATTTCAGTCAACTGAGTACATCCGAAAAGATTAAGAAAGCAAGGAAAAACTATAAGTAATGGCGGGCGCTATCGTCCGTTGATTAATACGAAATACCTCAAAATATGTTTCGTACATCTTAGCTGGAACACTTTAGCGAAGATATATCTCTGATACAGAGAGATCCAGGAGGTTTAAAGTAGAGCAGAAGGATTTGAAAAGGAAAGCAAAACTCAAAAGCAATTTTTGCGAGTGACAGAAAACTCTTGACAACGAACAAGGTAATGGAAACACAAAAATCCGCTTCCATTCCTGAACGAAATATGTGGTAAAATGGCGATCAAATGTTCCAAATAATTTCTCTGGATATTTACGTCTCTCACATCTATCCGCAGAGTTCATGTACGAAAACTTTTAACTCGCAATGAGACTAAGTCAATTAATTGTTCTAAAAACATTATTTAAAGGCCAGATCTGGATCGGTTCGTTTCCATATTATTGTTCTTAGTTAGTTTGTTTTGTGTTGATACTGCAGCTGTAATTTCAAAGTGACATTACGGTTTTAATCGATTTTCTCTCTCCCAATGTAGGAAAAGCCTCTGCACAAGTTCTTGCAGAGACACATCAAACACTCATGTCGGGAGAAGTCCTCACATTGACCTGCAAATTCAACGTGGAAACCATAAGCATAACTTGGAAAAAAGATGGAGAATCATTAAATGAACGAGCACTTATAGATACCCGATTAGATGAGAGAAAGAGTACACTTGTTATTACTAAGGTTGTGGAAGAGGACAGTGGTGAATATTCTTGTGAAGCAAGTAACAAGCCAGGAACTGTGGCTCGCTCTTCTGTGACATTGGACGTAGAAGGTAAACCAGTGTGACTGCAAGGCCATTGCTCTAAACTAAAACCTTTTTATGTTTCTAAACTTTTCCATTGTTGTTGTTGTTGTTTTCTCTTTCATCCTCTTGAAACTAAAATCATCAAATCAAAACGAAGTTAGAAACAATAGCAAGATCTCATATGTGGAAATGACTGTTTCATTTGTTATGATGATATTTTTTGTATTTCGGGTACTTTTCCAATTTACATTCACACGGAGTTTTTAACCACTTTAAATGCAGTCTCACCAACAAAATAGATAAATAATTAAATAAAATACCTTTAAAAAAGAATCGGCATATTTTTTAAAAAATATGCCGATATTTTAAAAAAAAAAATGAATATTTTTTAAAAAAAATTAATATGTCTTTCGGTGCATGTCATAGTCATTGGAGGTGTATCATATTTGTCCTCACAGAACTACCCACTGTCAAAATATTTCCAAAAGAGCTACCTTCCATATTGGAAGGAGGGAAACTAAAATTGACTTGCCTATTACAAAAAGAAAAGAATGTAAACTGGAAAAAAAGATGGTGCCACAAACATTTAAAACGCAATAGTCAAAATCGAAAAAGGGAAATTAAGAGCAATATCACCATATCAGATACTGAGCCTGGTGACAGCGGTAAATATTCATGTGAGGCGTTCAACCAAGCTGGCAGTAGATCTGCTGATGCAATGGTAAACATAATGGCACGAAGGAAACTCGCTGGTCAGAGTTTAAGTGACAGTGTATTTTCAAGTCATTTCCTATTGTACTGTATTGGATGTTTGTTACCACCAACCCATCACTCTCTCCTTCCATCAATGGTCAAAATATTATGCTTCTTCCTTCTTTTCTTCTTATCATCTATCTGCCTCATTCTGCCAAGACAAATAGATAAATAATTCTACCCCTTTAACTTTATACACCGAGAATTAACGACACTGATTGCCTTTGTTAATAAACTAAATTGCTTCCTACATGGAATGCGCCAGCCCCAGCAGCTCCTTCCAGCAGTTCACTGGAGTGGTACTATATTGGCGGACCTGTGGCTGCTTTCATTTTCCTGCTGGCTCTCAATGCATACATCAAAAACCGCCGTGCGACAGGTAAAAGGAACTTTAAAGAGGTGCCATAGGTTACCCGATGAAAACAAGATGTTTTGATTCGGCAATTGTGAATTTTTACATGTCAATGTTTAGGTTTCTAAATGAGTTTTTTGTTTATCAGGTCAGATTCTGCATTTCCAGAACTGACGTCGAAGGTCACTTTTCACTCTCCGCAAGTCCATTAATTAGCTAATAAAATGACCTGAAGGTCGTAAATTATATCCAGCTAGTTACCATGGCAAGCCACCTTATTCCTTTTAGTTTTAGTCATACTCTAAGATAAGTTAAATTTGATTTTTTAAACCAGTAGTAGGCTTTGACTGAGTTAATGACAAAGCCATTTCTTCCATCTTTTTCTACATATCCTTGGAAAAAAGCTTTGCAAGATGTGCCCAGTCGGTTGAAGTTAGTATATTATCTTTGTTAAATGGTTACTTTGAGTATGTTGTTATACCTGAGGTTTTCAACTTTTGAAGAAGTCTGTGCAGAGAATTGTTAACCGCCACTGCCGAGAAAATTGTGTCGCATTTTAGCTTGGTCCTTCTTGTAGACACATTTTAAATATTACTTTTTTACTCGATTGTAGACCGATCCCTATATTTAGATAACACTTCGGATGGGGTTGGTTAGTGATTTACTAACCATTAGACAGGCACGTAAGAGGCACGGTATTCAAATGACGTACAATGCAAAACACTAAGTCGGCACAAGGTATCTTCAGATTCCACACACTGTGTTCACTCAGTGTATTTTAAAAAATCCAATCTCTGGCATTGGGATGATGTGGCACAGTCTCAGTCAGTAAACTAGTATCCAAATTTCACCTATTTCAACAATTTTCTATAGGAAAACGAGAAATTTATGACGGGCTTTATATAAATTATCTCATAGACACTCGCATGGATGCCTTTTTATATACAAAAGAGCTAGACTGAGACACATAAAGATAGGTAGGTCACAAGCATAGTTAAATCAAAGTCGTGTTGCCATCTGCAATTATTCAGTGAGGAGCAAGATGAAGTTGAAATGGGTCAGGTAAACGTAAACACGGATGAATGGGAGATTGCAGTTGACCGTCTGAACTTTCGCGAGCCTATTGGCAGAGGGGCATTTGGCTCAGTGTGGCGAGCGCTACTGGGTCGGTCCCGTGGCAGACGAGGAAATCGTACCGTCGCTGCCAAGTGTTACCTGCGTAAGTACATTTTTAATATCTCTCGTTATTGAAAGCATTAATTGAAGTATCCTCAACAATCAGAACGCGCGTTGCGTTCTACTTATGTTATGAATGCATATAAAAGTGGAAATTTCTACTGAAAATGATTAAGTCTCACTTTAATTTCATCCCACCTTCAAACACGTTCTCTCTTCTTGCGGCGGTTGTCGTTGGTCAATATTTGAAGGCAAATTTCCACTGACTTCGAATATTTTGCAATGTTGCCCTCTGAGAGGCTTTTGACGGAAAATATCTTGTTATGCAACCTCAAAGGGGCCAAGAGGGCGTGCAGTTTTGGATATACAAAAACTCGAACCATATGTCCATACATAATGTACATGACCAAACTTAACCAACTGGATTTAAAACTGAATCACCTCATTACGTAAATTAAATTGCGGACCGGTTATAAGTCGTAAAAACGAAACAAAACTGATCAATAAAAACAAAACTATAAAAGAAAAACAAAACAAAAACAAACAAAAAAAAAACAAAGAACCCATTAAAATTTCATTTTGGAAAAAGTAACTTCATATAATACAATAAAATTCAACAAAGGATTGAGTAACATTTAATTGGTAGAGACGATGAATCTAGTTGAAGAATTATCATACAAATGAAATATCATACAAATGAAGAGAAACGCCAACTATTTTTTTACTTAGCAAACATGAATGAGTTTTTGAGTTTTGATTTAGATGTGTAGACCTTATGCACTGTAACATGTGCTAATTATTTAACATCAAATATTCAACACTTTTAGATGAGCACTTTAACCATAAAATAATCGTTTCTATGAATACATCATTCCATTGTTTGTTTTTGTGGTTTCCTAGCAATCTCTGGAGAGGAAGGAAGGAAAGCCCTGCTGAGAGAGATCGAGTTATTGAAACTCTTTGGAAGAATGGGCCATGAGAATGTTGTTAAGTTCATTGGCTGTGTTACAGTTGGAGGTAATCAGCTATTGTTATGATTGGAATCCGCTAAGTCACAGTAAGGATAAAAACATCACTGAGGTGAACTGCTGGTAGAAAAAATTCTGTTACTACCATGGTGAGCTAGTTCAAGAAATATTTACATTTTCGTGTGGTTTATTCAGTCTTTTTTCT